AGAACAGAGTAAGGTGGGTAATAGGTGCGGAATTTATGAGTAAATTTGAGAATGGAGATATGGATCTTGGAGTCATTAGTTCTACGAAATCACTGATTCATTGAAAGCCATGAATAAACTCTGCACCTGGACAGTATACTAACAAAATGGTTAATGATATATACTAAAGTTGGGCAAATAATTAAGTGTAGTGGTAGTCTTCAACACATTTCAATATATTTCAATGGATTTTTATTGAGTATCTACTATGTGTCAGGTTTTGGTAGTATGTAAAACTTCAGACTTGTGAAAAAGAATAAAATATTTTTAATATAAATTATTTATGTAAATGTCTTCACTCAGGCCTGAGATACTGTGCATTTGCAATAAAAGTTTCAAAAAATAGTATTTGATACTAACACATATAATATAAAACAATATATTAAATAAAGCATAATAAAATGCTTTGTGGAAAGGAGATCTTATGGAGATAAGGACTTCTGGAGCATGCAGAGAAATTTTCTTGTAATTTTTAATATTCTAAATTATTTAAGTATTGATTCATTGTTATATTTATACCTCTATTAAATTTTGTGACTGTGACTTGGTTTGAGGAAGTTGCACTTCTGGGATATCCCTGATAGACTATTTGTTGGGTTGCAGAGGAATTGGGGGCATATGGGTGGCTTAGTAGGTTGAGTGTCCAATTTCAGCTCAGGCCATGATCTCACGGTTTGTGAGTTTGAGCCCTGCATCCGTTTTTTTCTTTTTTTTTGCTATCAGCATGGAGCCTGCTTTGGATCTTCTGTCTCTCTCTCTCTCTCTCTGCTCCTTCCCTGCTTGCACTCTCTCTCTCAAAAATAAATCTTAAAAAAAAAAAAAGAATGTCTGTTGGGTTGCAAAGGAATTGAAGAGAGACATATAAAGAAAGGGTATAAGGAAGATACTCTTCTGAATAAACTGAGGAAGAGGTAGGTAGGAGGAAAGGGGTTTCAACAGCATGGACTGCGATGGAATTACCTTGTTCAAAATGGTGATCAGAACAATAGCAGGGAGCAGCACAAAATCATTTTTGGACAGTGATGCAGAAGATAGTTTCCCATGTTGACCAAATACAATTAATTATATGTTTAAGACATACATGTTTTATTATTAAAGGAGTAGAAAACATACTCTTGTTTGATGAAAGAAGAGATAGTCACTTGAATATCATACATTGTTCTTGTAACAGATATTATCCAGCAAAACTACATCAGGCATTATGATGTTTTTTAAATATATTCTCATATAATGCTTGCAATAACCAGGTGAGTAACACTTTACTGTCTCTCTTTTACAGAAAATGAAATTGTGACTCAGGGAAATTCCACAAAATGCCCAAGACCACACAGCTAGTGAGAGGCATAACTGGCATGAGAGCACAAATATCCAAAGTTAGTTCTCTTAACTTCCTGGTTATAGTTTTTATGTGTTTGGAATTTAGAGAATATGCATATAGATAAGGTATAGGAAGGTAAAAGAAAATAGGAAGATAAAGGAAAGGAAAAAGAAGCATCTATTGATTAAAACTTTAGGGGAGCCTGAGTGGCTTAGTCGGTTAAGTGTCCGATTTCTGCTCAGGTAGTGATCTCGTGGTCCGGGAGTTCAAGCCCCACATCAGGCTCTGTGCTGACAGCTCCGAGCCTGGAGCCTGCTTCAGATTCTGTCTGTCTCTCTCTCTCTCTCTGCCCCTCCCTGCTTGCACTGTCTCTTTCTCTCTTAAAAAATAAATAAGCATTAAAAAAATAAATAAAACCTTAGGTTTTAGAGGAGAAACAACATTACTCTAGTTGCCATACCAGTAGTAGTATTTATTGTGAAGAACCAAAGATACTATATCCGTTATTTCACAATTTCAATAAATGCAGAGCTCTCTTTCATGTTTTCCCCATCCACTTCACTGGCTCACACACACACAAATATTCATTGCATGTTTATATACATATACTGGGTACGTATATGTACCCATGGCTACACTGTGTTTCTGTAATTGAGATGAAATCATATATGCAAGAGTACTAGATTTCTTTCTTTTCAAAATTTGGTCAGCATTACTTTTGAGGTACTTCCATCAAGCAAATGGTTAATATATTAACTATTAACCAAAACAGACTTTTAAGATATTATTACACTATAAAGTTGTTTGTGTAACTAAATATAAATCAATCATTCATGGCAAAGGGGACACTTTATGTCATATTAAAACAGTGAGATAGAAGAACAAAAACTACATAAGGTAAAAATAAATGAGTTCGTTTAAATCAAGACAAATAAAATCTCTAAATGGAATAAGAGTATTTTTTCAGAAAAAATACAGTAATAAAAAGACTGTAGATTTTTCTCACCTGCATTTCTCCTTGTTGCTTATTCAATTCTTTGGTGGCCATTGTTAAATAACAAGCAACATTTGTTTTTGGATGAGATTTGTAATATAATTTTTAAAGACTGGTATTTGACAAGCATGTCATTACCTCTTGCTGTAGGCTTATAATCAAACATTATTCCTGCCTTTATTAATGTGAAGTAATCAGTGATTATATTTGTGAGTTAGGCAACTGGTAGAAGAGGAGAAGACATTGTCTTGATTAAAAAGACTTAGGAAGTTCTTTAGAATGTAAAAAAGTATGTAATTCAAGATCATGAGATAGACTTTACTTAAAATTTTAAAGAGTTACATATATTAAATTTGACTCAATAATTCTGAAGTGGGTAACAATCGGGACAATCAAGATATTCTTAAAGCTGAGATTTTTCCTGATTTATTATAATATTCTCAAAGCCCAGAGTCCCTCCAAGTAGTTTACTATAAGATAAGGATGAATTATACAATTAAAATTTATTTTTTCTTATCAATCTTAAGAAGAAAAATGTACACACTGTTTGAAATGAAAGGGTCTGGTTGATTTGAAGGAATTTTGTTCTCTGATGTCTGTAGACAGGTGAATGATACATTACTTAGTAAAAAATGAGAAAATGTCAAAAATGAGTTACATTTTTACAAATCTGCTGATGAGTTGAACTTTGACTTGCGTGAATTTCACTTAATATGAAAAATATCTCCCCTTTTTTTCTATAAACATCTGTTATCCCACTTGGAAAAAAAGTTAAACTCTAGTTCAAAAATAAAATATTACTGGGGGAAACTAGTGAACCAACAAATGAAATGTGAGAGGTCTGAAACCCAGTTATTGTGATTATAGTGTGCTTAATGCAATGCTTTTAAGCAAATGATCATATAAATAACAATAAGGTTAAGAATTTGAGTCTCACAGTTAACACAGGAACAATCAAAGCAGTAATTTGTAATTTCTATTAACTCATCCCTAAGAAAAAGTTTCACATTTTCTCAAAAAGATCAAAAGGCTTTAGACATAGTGGGGAAACAGAAAAACAAAAATTTTCATGAAGTGTAATCTAAAGTTGATTCTGTCATAAAATGTGTGTAAATACTTGATTCTCTTTCAGATTAGATTTGATTTGCTTGCTTCACACAACAACAACAATAACAACAACAACAAAAACCAAACAAACAAAACAAGGCTCTTCAGTTACCTTTAAAGACAATGAATTATGTTAAGCATGATTTCTCAAATTGAAAGAAAAATATTATTTATAGAATATAGAAAATTACTCCAGAGGAAAGGTGGATCTATAGGTAATGTTCCCAAAGCATCTGATTTACTGTTCTGTTGAAATTTTACCTTCATGTATCACACTGCAAAGATTAACAAAGCCTTAATATGTCTTCACTAAAAAAATCGGATAAAACATTCAAACAGTATGACAATCCTCTCTACATAGGAGAGGAACCTATGGCTCTAAGACGGGAAGAGCCATCACTTCTCTTCTAGAAATTAATTGCTGGGTGGCATGGCTGGGAAATAGAGCTTAGGTTAGAGAATTAGTAATGTTTAAAGAGGTAAGTTTTAGATAATACATATTATGTATATGTATATATATATATAATTGCCATTAAAAACATAATCTTCTGCAATAGTATATGTACTGGCATATATAAAAGTCCATGCTTTAAACTGATTGACGTAATACTACATAGAAGGCATGAGTGCCCCACACTACCTGTAAACACATGTTGGAGTTTTCATTCCATATCTTATCAATCAAGTTTTTTTTTTCTTCCACAGAGAGTGAACAAAATATGTAAATACTACATCACTGTCAAGGTGGAGATTGACACCTAGATTACTAGTGTGGTAAGGTTTTGGACCCATGGAATGATGGCCTTATACATACTAGTTGATACTACACAGAGTATGGATCCTTACTCTTTTCCCCCAAATCTCAGATAGGTTTTGTTGGACTCGTAATGCAAAATTCACTGAGAATGAATTACCCTGCCAGATAAAATAGTACTATCAGTTGAAGTGAAACTTTTCCTCCTACAAAAGAAAAACAGACAAAAAACATGAGGAGTCAGGGATTACAACTTCACAACTTCTCTAGCAAGGCAAGGAAGTTCATAAAAAGGAGGAAAATATACATGGGCTGACTGTCATAAATAATAACTGCTCAAAGTAAGAGTATGGGATCAGAGAATTTCTTTTCACCACAAAAGCAAACGTGTTTTTAAATTAGCAAAGAGAAAATGTAAGCCCTTAATTCAGATACTGGGTGGCTGCTAACTTCATTTACAGATATCTCTGTCCTTATCTTTTCCTCAAGATTCTCATTTGTCACTTGCATATAATCAGGGTTCCCAGTCTTATGTAGAGTTTCTGAAACCTTATAGTTAACAGAGGAACTGGGCTGTGTTATGGTCCCCACACTGGAAATTGGATGATGCCACAAAACCCCACATTACTTCCCAGAAACTCATATAGGGATGGATGCTAGTAATTGCCAATGCGTGCATATATAACCATTTTCATTTTACGAAAAAGATAGAAGAAAATTTATTCACACAGTCGTCTGTTGACAATCACAAGTGCATTAAGGGGACAAAGGTTGTGGGGTTTGCTTTTCTATTTAATAATAAAAGGAAGCATCCTTCCAGCCTTGGTGCTTGTCTCCAGTGCTATCTCACTTTCTGCAGCTCCTGTCTCAGCCAGGATGGCAGAGGCTGCCCCAGTCTATGCAGCAGTTTGGACAGTTCCACGTTATGATCTCGGTAGTAATTAGAGAGGAAAGTTCTAGACTGAAAAGCAAAAAGCAAAAACAAAAACACAAACAACTTGAAGGAAGTTATTAGTTCATTAAATAAAATGATGCAATCTACATTTCTTAAGAAATTCTATTACAATATGGGTGTCTACAAAGTGTACATTTCTTTGTATTTTTCTTCAGACATCACTCATTACTTTTTGAAAGGATTTGGCAGAGCTGTAGATATAAAATAAAAGTAGGTCCAGGTGCATCTTTTCTGGTTTATATACTATTCAGGCATTTCTTAATTGCAGTATTGCTATGCAAGGAGAAAAGTTGATGAGAGGTAACGACACTAAAGAAGAGTGAAGTAGGGACCTGTTGTGGTACCAAATCCACAAAAGTGATCCAGAAAAAACATATATGTTTCCTTTAAAATTGGTTATTTTCTGTAAAATTGGGCCATAGCATACAACGTAAACATAAATAATCATACAAGCTGAAGTTCACGATTAAAGAAATAACTTGCAACTATACAAAAATATTTTCTATGTTTGTTCAGGACAAAAGTTGATGCTTTTAAGACAAGAGGAGGTTTTCTTCAAAAATTATATGAAGAAATATATTTTAATTTAACAAACTTAAGAAAGTTTGTGATTCTTAAATTCTTAGGCAAGCTGGAATGATTGGCTCTTATTGGATGAATGGTTAAAAAAGAATTCTCAAATATATTAGTAGTCTCAGTTTATGTCTTCTTTTATTTCTGGGAAACAGACAATTTATAATTGGGTTTTCTCTCTGTATGTCACTTACTTCATAACCCAAAGAACGTTGTTTTGTGTCTCTGATAAAATAGTAGAGATGAACACTTCTGTGTCAGTATAGTCAAGCAATGATCCAAACATTGTTTTCCATCTGGTCAGATACGCCATCTCTCTTAAGCCCTTTCCAATATTTTAACACAAATGGGTCTTTTTCCTCATAAAACTCCGTGGGCAACTTTGTGTATACTGTAGAAATGGACTTAAAACAACTACATTTTGTCTTGTATCATCCACCAGGCATTTCATTACATTTCTTCTCTTAAACCAGATAGTAAACACTTCAAATTCTGGATACGATGTTTATAGAAGTAGTGAGAACATTACGCTGACTTCTTGGCAGATTAAAGTGATTTCTGAAACCCTTTTGAAATTACTGATTTCACAGGTATAGTGTAAGAAGGAAGTTCTGGTACTTCTATTTCCATAGTAACACCTGAATCACTTTCAGCCTCCCTTTGCCCACCTTGTCTTGAGAGAGATACTCATTACATCTGGCTCAGCTACTGCTAACTGGTTTCCCAACCCTAGTCTACCTCCTCATACTATCACTTCTATTAAGAAAAAAAAATTCCTGCTTTTGTAGTTTGTGATTGTCTTATGTATCTTATTATAAATCAATGATAACAATTAATTTACCCTTCTATAATAAATCCGGGTTCATAACTATTTTATCTTATATCCTCTTTTGATATTGTGACTTACATTATAAAATATATCTTTACCCCTTCTTCTGGCACAAAGCTCCTAAAATCCTTGGAATTTCCTAAATGAAATAATAAAGGTATCTTTTGTTATGTTAACTACGTGGCTTCCAGATCCCACCTCCATGAGGGATGGTTGCCAGGAGAACCAACCTTGTGATTAGAAGGTTGGAAGTTTAAGTCCCACACTGCTGACTTCCTGGGAAAGATGGGCTGGAGATTGAATCAATCCCCATTTGCCAATGATTTAAACAATTGTGTCTATGTAATGAAATCTCCAATAAAACCCCCAAAAGGACTGGATTTGGAGAACTTCCCTGTTGGTAAACATATGGAAATTTGGGGGGAGTGGCTCATTCACAGAGGAGGGCTTTCCCCATACCTTGCTCTATGCATCCCTTCCACCTGGCTATTATTCCTGAGTTATATCCCTTTATAACTAACAGGTGACCTGGTAAATATATTTCTATGAGTTCTGTGAGTCCCTATAGCAAATTTTGCTACATTAAATGTAGCAAAAAACACACAAAGCAAATTTGTGAACAAGTCTCTGGCAAATTTTGTCACTGTAGCAAGGAGGAAATCATTGGAATTTTCAGTCTATAGCTGGTTGGTCAGAAGCACAGGTGACAACCTGGGCTTGCACCTGGAACCTCAAGTTGGGGGTGCGAGAAATAGTCTTATAGAACTGAGCCCTTAACCTGTGGGATCTTATGCTATATCTGGGGAGATAGTGTTAGAAATGAGTTGAATTTTAAAATATACAGCTGGTGTCTGAGCATTGATTGGCTTGGAGCAACCTCCCTACTCACATGTTGTAACTGGTAATCAGAACCCTTTACTTTTCATTCCTTAACTGAGTACCCATGCATGGTATAGGCATTGCATACATACATTTAATATATAATAATACAGTTTATGTATTTTATCTGAAATCATTTATTTAGTGAGCAATTCATTTAAGTACTTAACACATTTTGGAAAAGTGTTATTGTTCAGTAAGTATTTATGTTTCAATTGTACCCTAATGGTAAACAATTTCTACAAATATCTATCAATTCTTGATCTTTGTCAGTCTATCATTCTAAATATATAAAACATTAAGAGAAAAGAAAGATAAGAAACATGAAGCAAATTTATTGTCACTCATTTTGAAACAGTAGTAGGCACAGTTTTACCAGAGTGTTTCAGAGATTAGGAAAATATTACCTCTGGATCCATGGGTGGATATTTTCGGCCTTTGCTCTTTCCAAGACATTTGGTTTTTCCTCCTTCCAGGAGCTGACACCAAAAGCCCTTTTGGGGATCAAACCTACAAAAGAGCAAACATAAAAATAATTATAAAAATATAATGATTATAAATTATATACAGAATTTTGAGTGAGAAGGCCTCACCAAATGGATAAAGAAAATGCACTTTGGGGGGCATGTGGGTGACTCAGTCTGTTAAGCATACAACTCTTGATTTTGGCTCAGGTCAAGATCTCAGGGTTTTTGAGATAGAGCCCTGCATAGGCTCTGTGCTGACAGCTCAGAACCTACCTGGGATTTTTCTTTCTTCCCCCCCCGCCCCGCCCCTTTCCCCACTTGCGTACTCTCTCTCTCTCCCTCTGCTCCAAAATAAACAAACATTAAAAAAGAAAGAGAAAATTTAATATGTCCATTGTTTCAATTTAACTTAATTCAGTTCTACACATATTCACTAATTGATTTGATAGTCTAATTGAGATTAAATAAACTATATGTTATTATATGTTTTTTAATATTTCTACTGTAATGAAAAAGACCCATAAATATTTAATTCAATCTTAGGTTGAAATTATTAACTGAAATTCTATATTTACCTACTCATGCATAAAAGATCAACAATCATCAAAACTACAACCCATATACACAGGACCTTTAAAATATTTATTTACTTATGAATATGATTTCCCTGTCAAAATATATTAACAGATTTCTTTGAAATCATTTAATGGTACATATTAAAGTGACTGAATGTAATGTAAGTATACTTTTGTGAATATAAACATGAATTAAAACTTCTAATTTGGAAAAGGGCTGTAGATTTTAAAGTTCAAAATATTTACACTTTTTAAAGGAGGAAACTGAAATTGTAAAAATATAATTTATTATGTTATATATAATTATATATTATATTAGGCACAAGCTATGCAAGTGGCGAGTGAAAGATTAGACAACTTTTCATTTCTTTTGTAGGAGGCAAATGATCTATAGATTAATTTAGGTCCCTATACTCTTAAAGAAAATTCTAATGTTTTGCTCCCATGGCTGTACAAAGTTACAAAAGAAAGGATGTGTGGCCTAATTGTTTAAACTCAGATATATAAGAACTTTTGTTTAAAACTAACAAGATAGGAAAAATGGAAGAATAAACCAAATAAGAAGAGAAATTTTAAATTTATTGCTATGGGACTTGCTGCATGCATAAAACATCGAAAAGGTTTGCATTTTTGTTGCTCAGCAGATGTTTTAGAAAGATGAAGCATAATTGACGGGGATGTAAAGTTAATTAGTTGCAGAATATTTTGTTGCCCTGGGCCCATTCCTATAATACCGGTGCACCTGCAATTTGCCTCTACACATATGTGAACTCATTTAGGGGGAGAGGGAATTTTCTTCACAGTTCCCTGCCCATCCTATTATTAGAGACCCGATCCTTGCAGTCCAGGTTGTCCTAGTACATGTTATCAATTAAAATTAAATACATCACTGGTTAAATGGATAAAAGGAAGACAGACTCATTTCCAACCTGGACTTTTCAATCTGCTCCTTGCCTATCACAGTCCTTTCTCTAGTTTTCATTAATTTCCCAAGAGGAAAAACAATTCAGCCTGCTCTGCAAAATGAGATGGGGAAGTCGGCATAACTGTGCCCCTAAACAGCATTTCTGCCTCAGGATGAGAATATTTAACTGCATTAAGGTAAAATACAGTTCTGGCAACAAAGCCAAGACATTTATACACACGCGGAGAGCATCTCCTTTGCTCTCAGGTGTGTGGAGGTCCCAAGATGGCTGCAGTCTCTTCCTACTCTCCACAGCAGCTGTTGTGAGGCAGAACTTAATACAACCTGAACAAGAAGAGCCATATTGAAAGTCATTCTTGTTGAGAGGGTTGTCATAACCTTGACTCCATATTATTTTGCTGTCCTGGTTTTGCTTATTGCAATGATGGTATATACTCTAACAAAGGACATTTATTTTTTCTAAGTTCTATGAATAAGTTGTATAACGCTTGTATTTTAGTTGGCATGAAATTGTGAAATGAAGATCCAAAGTCTTTTTCAAATAACTGTTAGACAAGTCTGAGGACATGAATTGGTTGCCATATGACTTCTTTTATTACACTGAACATCACTATAGTTATTAATTTTTGTGATGTGAGACATATTAAAAGCCATATATTCTGTACTTGTTTGCAATCTCTTTTTGAAAAGTATGATTTTACAGGTTTATTGAACCAAAAGCAACTATTTGTAGTAAACAAGATAGAGCTATTCCCTAAACTACTGCAGGGAGGCATGGGAAGACATGCAAACATCAATAACTATTAATGTAAAACGGGTTATAGGAAGCTTTGCCTACTTAATCAACAGGGGCATGCCTTGTATTGTTATTATTTCCAAGTGTAGGTAAAAACTTCATTAGAGTTGTTTGAGTGGATAAGGAACAACCCAATCTTATTACTGCTTTTCCTGTCCTTCCATTACCCTCTATAATTGTCTAACTGCTGATTCTAATCTGCTGTGAACTGGGAAATTATATAATCAGGCTTGTTAGAATTTTGTCTAAAATTTAATAGGCTTTGTGTCAGGCCTTGTAAAGGAGTCAAGTATATACCCTTTTAAAATATTTTTTGGCTTCTTTGAGCTTTTGTTTGTTTGTTATTTTGCTTCTTTGCCTCCCTCCCATTTTTAATTAGCCAAGTATATGGTTTTATTTTTCCAAGATGGCTGCAGCAATATCTCCTCTCCCATATTCTTTTCTGTAGAATACCCTTGCCTCTCTGCATCAAGGGGAGAGGCTCATTTCCCTCTCTTTGCATTTGTGTTGGCTTTAGTGACTTGGCTATAATCAATAAAATGAAGTATAAGTGATGCTGTGTGACTTGTGAGGCCAGGTCAGAGAAGGCCATGGCTGTGTTGGATCACACTGCCTTGAACATGTCACTCCCTCTCAGAGCACAGCCACTGCACTGCAGCAATGCTGCACAAAGAGACCTCATCCCGTTGAGCTCAACCTTTGAGCCCTCCCAGTCCAAGAGCCAGAGATATGACTGAAAAACTGAAGAAGCCCCCAAAGATTCCAGTCCCTAGCCATTAGATTCATACCCAAATAGTCACATCTTCCCAACTGTGTCCCAGGTATTATGGGCAGAGATAAGCTGTTCTGACTGTGTCCTGTCTGATTGCCCAGCCCAGAGAATCTATGAGCATAATAAAATGGCTTTGGTAATGTGCTGGTGGGTTTGGGGATGGTCTGTCATGCGACAGTAGATAACAGGAACATTAGATGTGATTATATGTGGTTATACACAGCTTAATAAATACAAAGTAAACCAGGAATTTATCCTTTTCCCAATTCTGTCCAAAACACTGCTCATTTTCACAGAGTTAACAATGGCCATCAGCATTTCATTACTAACCTGTGAATTACTTATGGGAAGATACTATATACATATATGTATATGTACATATATATACATATACACATGTATACACATATGTATATATTTGCTTTTATAACCTCAGTTTTTAGGACAATTTCTGCACAGAGTAGGCATCTAAAAAATTTACTTAACCAAACATACATTGGGGATATGCTCAAAGAGGGGAATTTGTGACCTATGAAATGCCTAAAGGATAACACTTTGTAAAACAAAATATTTGTGGTATTCAAAAGGAAGACACTACATAAAAAATGAGGATACTCCTTTGACTGCTTTTGAGTAGCATAATGATGTATAAAGGCATATCTAGTATTAATGATGCTATATACACACCTACCAGTATAATTTATGATGGCAAATAATGGAAATGAAATCAAGCATGAGAATAGACTCACGTTAGTGCTTCAGAATAATTATAATGAGGTGTAACTCCCAGAAACTTCTGGACTTCATCCATCACAGTAGCTGGGTCAGATCTCAGCTGCTGTCCATCAATAATTAGCAACTATAAAGTCAAAAATAGTCACTTTATGAAGAACAAAACTAAATTAAATAGACTGAGCTGCCCCACTTGACCTGGTATAACATTAATCAATTAGGTCAGCATGAATAGGAAGAAAATATGTAGTACTTAGAATACATTTTAATATTTACTATTCTTGTGTCCTTCCAAATAAACAACAATTAAAGTTTGCCATAGGCATCGTTTATAACCCTTAACTAACTTGATTGTTAATCAGAAAGAAATGTAGATACTCTCTTGACTTAGTAGCTCAATAGAAACTCAATTTTCCATCTGTCATGTAATCAGAAAATTATCCAGCCTACAGGATCCCATGAGCTAACCTTGGAGTAAAGGCCTTAGAAGTGACATATAGATAAAAATTACTCATCTATTCTCCTTGTAACCAACGACAGAGAACTGAGGTTTTAGTTGTGACCTGATCTGGAGTAAAGAATATAAGCAATATGCTTTCTTCAAATCCTTACCTCATGTTCTATCCCACATTCCTGGAGTTGTTACAGCATTTTCCATTTTGACAGTCTAATGCATGACCTTCTTTCCTTATAAGAGTCCTACAGGACAGATGTCAGAGTATCTGCACATGGTATTCCATAAAGGTATTGTCTAACTAGCTGTTCTACTAGTAGTTGAGTTATTGCCTATGAAACCCGTGATGTCTTCCATATGATGACTTTGCACTTTGAGACCAGCTACTATCTAAAAGAAGATCCCAAGAGTATGTTTCACAGCCACTTAACATTTTAATACTATTATTGACATAAACAGTATAAAAATTGGGCCTCTTGGGTAGCTCAGTCGGTTAAGTATCCAGCTCTTGATTTTGACTCAGTTCACGATCTCACACATTGTGAGATCGAGCCCTGTGTCAGGCTCTGCACTGACAGCACAGAGCCTACTTGGGATTCTCTCTCTCCCTCTCTCTCTCTGTCCTTCCCCTGCTTGCTCTTGCTCTCTCTCTCAAAGTAAATAAACATTTTAAAAAATATGAAAATCCACAAATCTTCTTTAGATATGATTGTCTCATTATAAATTTTTATCTGTGGCAATGTTATTTCTTACTTTCTGTTTGTCAAATGCAATACAGCCAAAATATAATTAACAGAAGAAATTAATTCTAGGACCTTACCTGAGAAGTAGCAAAGTAAGTTAGCCATCTTTCGATGTGGACTGCATACCATCCAGGTACAAGGCACCTCCTTTGCAAAGCTTTCAGGTCTGATGGGGCCCAGTGTCCGGTTGTAATAACTTCATAGAAATTAAATCTCAGGGCAGCTGGATCTTCATGTGATCGATGGTGCTTTAACAAGAAAGTCCATTGTAAAATTAATTTTCTTTATGCCTGCACGGGTATGTGTGCGTGTGTGTTTGATGTATGTATATGTGTGTGTGTATTTTATTTCCAAAGAGTAATGAAAAATGGTAAAATTAATTTTAGAATGAAAAAATAAGAGGAAGAATGCATATATTAAAACTCAGGCTTTCAGCATATGTACATACATCTGTGGTCGTCTTCGTGTCTAAAATGTTTAGGTGCAAGGCAAGAGACACAGTATAGGATTGTCTTTGACGGGTCTGATTAAAAGTGAATAGATGTCAGGGGCTAGATAAATCAAGCCCAAGGAAAAGAGATTGAGATTGGCAAGAGTAGGCTTACACTTTACTTTGCTCATTGTTTTATCACAGCTACTCCTGCAGTAGTAGCTGCAGGACCCCTTTTTCCCAAGACCCCTGTGTGGCAGATGCTATGAGTACAGAGAAAGCAGATGTCTATTCCTAATGCTTGTGGAGGTGTCACAAGGATATTGATGCTGCCCCACATCCTTTCCTGTTGCTCTCCCAACAGTTTCTGCCCAACCCTGCTCATTTCCAAGTACTGCTTCACTCCTACTTTTCAGTACCAAATCCTCCCCATCTTTCATATCAAACTATCATTAGTCAAGCTCAAAAGCCCAATACAATGAGAGATGAACTTAGCAGTCAATACAATTTCCTAAGCGCTCACAAAGCTCCTTACCAGAGCAAAGAACTGCAATTGATTCTGGAGATAAAAAGATATAAGCAAAATGTCATTTCTATCTTCAAAGATAAAAATTTTATATGGGAGACAAGAGATTAACAGAGTGTAATAAAGTCATATATTTGACTAGAGGTACAAATTATTTGCTGTGGAAGCCAGACCTATAAGTGATTAGTTCTGAATGAAAGATGATGGTTTCTTTTTTAATGGTTAAAATTTTAAACTAAAATGTACTAAGAGAGATTTTTAGAAGTAGAAAAAATAAGCATAGAAACTGAACTTTTTTCCTTAGGTTTGAATGGAAGTGGATGAATTGAGGGAATGGATGAATGGACTTTGCAAGACATTAAAAGTTTAACATAAAGAAAATCAGCTGCAGGATGAGCATAAGAGTGTATTACGATTTGATACATTTGTGTGGCAGCACATCATCTATGTGAGAAAGAACAGTCATTTCAAAAGTAAAGATGATTAAGAAGTGACTAAACAGTAATCAGTAAGTGGTCGATTGGTGAAACAAGACTTCTGAAGTCCTCTCATTATTGTACATTTATTGACATTCTTATATGTATACACATTGTGCTGAGTACTCTGAGACTACATAATACATGGAATTGATATAATGTATAGAAACTATATACTATGAATAAGGAAATAAAAAAATACTACGTGCATATAATATGTTAATGCTAAAATTTCTATTTTAAACAGTGATAATATGGAGCTGTACTTAACCTGCCCTATATCGAATTATGAAAGTTTAACACATTGGGGTGCCTGGGTGCTCAGTCGGTTAAGTGTCTGACTTCGGCTCAGGTCATGATCTCATGGTTCATGGGTTCAAGCGCCACGTCGGGCTCTGTGCTGACAGCTAGCTCAGAGCCTGGAGTCTGTTTCAGATTCTGTATCTCCCTCTCTCTCTGACCCTCCCCTGCTCACACTCTCTCTCTCTCTCTCTCAGAAATAAAGTTAAAATAAAATAAAAGTTTAACACCAACTTTTCTTTATATTCAGCAACTAAGAAGATTAGCTTAGAAATATGACCAGAAGTCACAAAGGAACATATTTTATGGGGAAAAGAATCTCACTATAGCTTCTCTGTGAGGCCCATTATAAAGATGCGGGGTGGAAATTACAGTGGCAGGTGACATTTGTAGGAGTTTCTGAATTACACCTGCTGAGCTTTGGATTTACAGTATTACTGAATAGACAGGACTAGCTCAGTAATAGGCTGCATTCTTTTGAAATGTGGAGCGGTCTGGGGACCCTACTCTTAGCAATATGGCAATAAAAATATCAGAAAACATAATTCCTTTCAAGGGTGTATGTTCAATGCATTTATTTGAAGAAGCAGGCACAGATTCTCATTTATTTAAATAGTTAAATCCATGTAAAAAAAAGATTCATATAAAAATGCTCCATGGTTTCTGCTTGGAGAATGTGTAACATTTTTCCCCAAGGACTTGTATGCAAAATTTTTAATTAAGGCTTCATATTTTCATGTTTTTGTCACCATTTTGAAAAAAGTAAGTTTATCTTGCACTGCAATATGAATTTTCATAAAGTGAGAAAGACACGTTTTTGTGTCTTGAAGGAAACGGTGACTCATGGAATCTAATCATAACTAGATCTTGCTACCAATCCCAGTGTTCAGCTTGGATCCCCAACCACATGAAATCCCAATGTACACTTGGGTTATGATTCCTTGTCCATTATTCCTTGTACTTGGCCATATTCTAGTGAGGAAAGTCAAGAAAAAAGAATGAATAAAAAAATATAGAATGGGTAAAAAGTAAATAAATAAGAAATTAACACAGAAAAATTACTTGTGTGTTTTTAAACATTCCCTGTTAGGCTTGTTTATTTGAGCATTAATTTACATATGCATTAAACATACAGATACACAACAAACTGTGACATCATAGCCTGATCCAAAACCGAGAGTCAGACGCTTAACAAACTAAGCCACCGAGGTGCCCCAGAAATGGAAGGATTCTTAGCCAGAGGCCCACTGATGTAATTCAGAGTCTGTGAACTTGATTCTGAGAAAAAAAAAGTCTCTTTATTTTTAGTAACTTGTAAATGAAATTTTGCACTTAATTTGCCTATGAATTTACTACCGATAAAAATGGGTTATTTTTAGATCCCATTGTTGCAGATACATCAAACCGTTGTTTATGCTCATCCTGCTTCAACATTACAGGGGAATTAGTCTCAACATTAGACCTTATCATTGAACTGTTTAATAAGTAAATATTTGCTACTGATTTAAAAATTACTTTGACAATTATATTTCAGGAAACTTAATTCTATGTAATTCTATGTAGTTTTATGCTTTTAAAGCATATTTCTGGGTGCCTGGATGACTCAGTCAGTTAAGCATCTGACTCTTGATTTTGGCTCAGGTCATGGTCTCACCGTTTGTGACTTCAAGCCCTGCATTGGACTCTGTTGACAGCATGGAGCCTGCTTGGGATTTTCTCTCTCTTTCTCTCTCTCTTCTCTCTCTCTCTCTCTGACCCTCCTGTGCTTGTGTTCTCTCTCCCTTTCTCAATAAATTAATTAATAAATTGAAAAATTATTTCTGGAAAGGGACCCATAGAGTCTAGCAGCTGCCAGAGGGTCTCCACAGAAGAAAAGTGAAGTTTACAAATGGAGTCCTTCCTTCTCATCTAAGCTATTTCCTATACATCCCTTCCTGGCACCTCAGAATCCTGACAGGACTGATGCCAGGTTTCTCCCCAGGTTTACACATCTCTCCTTTTTTGGAAACTCCCCATAAATCACGTTGTTATCACCATAGCGGACAGTTTCCTTGAAACTGCTTTACCTTCTCCGTAACAAGCATGTGTCTTGATTTTTCCCCTTTGAAATCACATTTCTATTTCTACTTCCTACTTAGACTTTCCTTCACCAAATCCATCTGATTTTGCTCTTTTCATTCTGTTGCTAAATGTTCCCCTTCCCTACATGTCTTTCAACTCCGTGAAAATAATTCAGGCCTTGTTGTCTAATTTCTTAGCAGCTGTTTGACACTCTTGTCACCTCCTCCATTTGGTAGTCTGTGCTCCCTTGAACCAATGTCACCACATTCCTGGATTTCTTTCTTCTATTCTTCTGGCTGTATTCTCTTATCTCTTGGGCTGCCTCATCTTCTCTATACTTTTCTTCTCTAAACTCTTTCCTTATGCAATTTTACCACTCTGATGGCTCTTTTTTTGGCCTCTGATTCACAAATTTCTGTCTCAAGCTCAGACTCTCCCCAGGGTGCCTGCTAGCTAATTCTACTGTTCCTTTCAGTACAACAGTGATTCCATACTTCATGATCACCATTTGTGCCACAACGTTAGCAAACCCCCCCCAACCAGTCCTGTATCCTTCTTCAGTGCTTCTATTTTGGGGGGAATATATACTCAGCATCCAGTTGCCCACATCGGGAATTTGATTCACCTGACACTGTTTTCTCACCAGGTTCTATTGATTTTAATCCCTACCATCTCTTAAGACTTTATACTTCACTCAGTTTCTACTTACTCTCTGTCAATGCTACCTCATTTCTCAGCAGGACTATTGCACCAGCTTCTATTCGATTTCCCTGAATAGTCTTCTTTTCCACTCCACTCCATTCTTCAAATAGCAGATAGTCTGTTTTCTAAAAGAAATCTGGTGGTCATACACCGTCTTAACTTCTCAAAGGCTTTCAGTTACTTGAAGAATAGCGTTCATGTGGTCCCCCCACCTGAGGGTCCCAGCCCCTGTGTACATCTCAGATTCATCTTCCATAGATCCCCACCTCAGGTTTGGCTCTCTAGTCACACTGAGTTTCCTTAGTTCTATAAATATGCTTCCGTTCTACCCCCACTCGGTTTATACTGAATCATTGTTCAGTTTTAAATCGAAAGTTTATTTCTCAAGCAAATGCTCTCTCAGCACCATAAACATTTTCTCACACAGCATTCAAAACTTCTAATTATATACCTTTGTGATTATTTGATTAATATGTAGCCACATCTTAAAATGGACACAATGTTTCAACTCATTTTCTACTGATTAGAACCATTGTTAAATGTAGTTGCAGAATACTGCCTTTCAGTGTGACACAGATCTATATTGTTGGGTATTTATGTTTCCTTTCTTTGTCTTTATTGTGTGAATAGTGCTGCAATATATAAAAGGATAAATATTTGTCCACCCCTTTGAAACTTTCTTTATGATTCATTCTAGAAGAGGATCCATAACACGAAAGAAACTTCACAAAGCTATTTTGATAATTATCACCAAATTAGTTTTTAGAAAGGACCTCCACCTACACCCTCCTATAGGAATGTTTGAATATCTTCACCATCACAGCCTTGCCAGGAGGATGAACAAACATTACAGTTTCTGTTGAGATGATATTCAAAAAAAGTATCATTTTTATTTATATTTTGTTGATTCCTAATTGAGTTGATCATTTTCCATAGAAATAGTTGAGCAGTTGCATTTGTGTGTATTTGTGATATGAAATGTCTATCTATGCATTCTGTTTGTTTGCTCATTTTTCTACTGAGGTATTATACTTTTTTATTTTCACCAATTTACAGAAACTTTTTTTTTTTTTTTTTTTTACAAATTAAGGGCACTAAACCATTTGCCATGTATTATTAAAGTTGCTCTACCTAGATATGTATTTTTAATTTTGTTAGTTGTGATAGACTAATATTTTACATGTTTATGTTATCCAATCAATTAATTCTCTGATGTATGCTTTCTATTACTTTATGCCTGAAATTCCTTGCCTGACTTGACATGAATTAAGTATACAACTTTTATTTCTTACAATTTGTTTTTCTTCTTTTCTTTTCCATTCTTTATTTTTTTCTGTGTGTTTAGTTCTATAACACTTGACCAATTTAGTACATCTGATCATCTAACTTTATTTTGGTACTCATTATTGCTTACATTTAAGTTCTGGCCAAATATTTATAATAGTATTTTTTACTGCTTCATACCTGGTACCAAGAATATGCCCTGTCTGAAGGGTCGATGAGGATGGTGATGATCTTGGCTTTGGGGACCAGAGATGCAGCTCTCTTGGGAGCTTCTTCTGAATGGAAGTAATTAGCACTCTTTTCAAATAGAAAGTCACTTGTAATGTTGGATGGAGTAGGGAAAAAGTCCATATACCTGAAGGCAGAGAAAGATAATTCATTAATTTGAGTTCTAAGTTTTTTTTTTAACATGCAATGGATATGAAATAATTGAACATATTTACATTCATTTATATTGGTTTCTAATTATTAGTGTTACAATAGTTGAAATTTTGAAATTTGTTATAATAGTTGAAAACAACCTGAAATACTATTGTCCTAATGAACTATTAGGGGAAGGAGTGAGATGAAATAGGTGGATTTTTAAAAGTTTATTTATTTATTTTGAGAGAGAGAGAAAGAGAGAAGCAGAGAAAGAGGGAGAGAGAGAATCTCAAGCAGGTTCCATGCTCATCACTGGGAGATCGTGAGCTGAGCCCTAAGCCAGATATTAAGAATCCCACACTTAACCAACTAAACCACCCATGTGCCAGAAATAGGTAGATTCTTTTTTTTTTTTTTTTTTTTTTATTTATTTTTTTTACAAATAGTTTATTGTCAAATTAGTTTCTACATAACACTCAGTGCTCATCCCCAAAGTGCCCTCCTCCATGCCCATCCCCCCCTCCCCCCCACATCCATCAGTCCTCAGTTTTTGTCAGCATTCAAGAGTCTCTCATGGTTTGCCTCTCTCCCTTTCCCCCACCATTTCCGCCCTTCTTCTCCCGCTTGTTCCTCCGTCAAGTTCCTCCTAATCCTCCTATACGTGCAAACATATGATATTTGTCCTTCTCTGCCTGACTTATTTCGCTCAGCATCACACCCTCAAGGTCCATCCATGTTGCTACACATGGCCAGATTTCATTGTTTCTCATTGCCATGTAGTATTCCATGGTATAGATAAACCACATCTTCTTGATCCATTCATCTGTTGATGGACACTTAGGCTCTTTCCATGTTTTAGCTATTGTGGAGAGTGCTGCTATGAACATTGGGGTACATGTGCTCCTATGCCTCAGCATTTCTGTATCCCTTGGGTAAATTCCTAGCAGTGCTATTGCTGGGTCATAAGGGAGTTCTATTGTTAGTTTCTTAAGAACGGAGGAAACATCCTTTAGATTTGGGTTGATATTCTGTGTTATCAAAAGTCAAATCCTGAAATATTAAGTTTACCCTTGGCAAACAGCAAATTACACAATATTGCCTGGTGAATATTTTAAAATAGTAATTGCATGTTTGCAAACTTGAATTCAAATTTTTAATTTCGGATGAAAGTGCACAAGAGAGGAAGATGTGTAAATCAGAATAGCTATAAAATCCTAAACAGATTAAGGCATAGCTGCTCTTCTCCTTTTTAACTTTTGCATAATTTGTAGTATGTGTAGCAATGTGAACACATTATAGTCTATCTAGAGTAATTAAGAGGATATTTCCTGCCAGTTGATCCTGTGGTGCCTCAGTAGGTTCACTCCTCCATATGCTGTTGGAACATTCCTCTGTGTGTAGATTATGGAATCAATATGTTCAGAGGTTAACTCAGTGCAAGGCTTTAATTATGTGTGTAATCCTCCTTACAGCTCATCACTTCTCTAATCCTCAAATGTTCTAGAAATAAATAATGAGAGCAATTAAGAATTCATATAAGACACTTATTTTCCTCTTTGACATTTGTTATTATGTTTCCCAAATGTGAAGTGGTGAAAAGTCTCATCTATATTCCTGCTTAACAATTTGTGTTCCATTTGAGCTCACAGATAAGTGAAAATTGCTGTTCTGCTTTTAGTAACTTGCATGCACTTCCAAAATTCATTTAGTTTTTTAAAAGGAAGGTAGAACAGTGATATCCTAGGTGCAGAGTGGGTACCAGAACTTCTCCCTGGCATTGCCCCTCCCCCACTCTGACCCTAGCTTGGTCTCAACGCAACAGGCCTCTTGTTGAGACCAGGTTCATGTATGGTGTCGACATAAAGTTACACACTGCCAAGGTATGCATGTAGGGGCATTTTCCTAGGGGGAAAGTTGTCTCATATAACTGGAAATTGGAATTAGAGCCGTATTTTCTTAAAAACTGTAATAAAGCTAAGATAAAGCTCCAGAGTAAAGATCAGTTGTAATATCAGGTTTATTCTATTTCAGTTTAGGGAAAATATTGTGATTTAAAAATTTTTCATAATTTATTAAATGCAAAGTAATATTCCTTTTATGCATATGTGTAAATAGCATTAATATGGTTTTGGAAATGCTCTGTTATTATTTGCATGACAAATATCAGCTTATATTATAATACAACATTCTACAGTCTATGTGGTTAATGAAGATACATGTCACAGAGTAGGAAATAAAACAACTTATTTATTTGTTTCCTTAAGCATCATTTGTGAAGACAGATTATGTATTTAGTTAAAAAAATTCCAGGCACAGTAAAATAATAATATGCTTAAGCAGAATTTTAAATATCCTTATGAATAATTCTGACAAAAATATCCCATAATGTTCTTTATGCAATCATATTAATTTACCAGAAAAATATTATCATTATTGCACTGTCCAAATCAAATTATAGGCAACACTGATTAAACATATCGTTGTTATAAATTAATTTCTAATTCACTATGGTTGAATTGAGCATAATAAATTTATGCTGTAATTATGTAGATGCCATGCATACATCTATAATTGCTCTGCTGTGATTGAGCATTTGTTAATAATGGAGTTTATTTTTTGTTATTTTCCTTACCAATCAATTCCCTTGTGGTAGTTGTTGCCGTTAAAGAATTGAACTTCTTCAAATGTTTTGGGGCTGGGAAGATTGCTGATGATGGAAGGGTGCATAAGAAGAAATAAATAAAGTGCAGTTGTTCCTATTACAAAAAAGGAGGCAAAAGATTATATATGACAACAAAAGAAGAGACAAATACTATTTTAGCAAAATTTTTGTTCAAGGAGTAATATTCGGAAGCCCAATTTTTTTCTGGTGTCAAAATGACTTCCTTAAAATCAATTAGGTGTATTTCATGTGGCAACAATCTAAGTATTGTTTTATTAGTCTTCATGGTTCCATTTACCTAAACATCTGATTTAATATTTGTACAGAGGCAAAGTTGAACAGACTGAGGATATAGCTTATTTTTGTCCTCAATGTATGTTTTACATTTTTTGGTTTGACATGCAGTAACCGTTCTCCCGTTTATAAGATGATACAAAGTTTCTGCTTTAAATTATTTTATATGTGGTAAAAAGTCAGTTTATTTGAAGATGAAATATGAAATATACCACAGGAGAAGCACAACATACAAAAAGTACAAAAAGCACACAGGTGTTTGTACAAAGATATGACAAAACTGGGCATCTGAAGGGGATGATTCTGTACTTTAAGAAGGAAGAGAACTTCAGATACTGGCAGTTCAATTTCCCTCCTGGAGTCAAGTGAGAGGCTAAAGCATCAAGGGATTCCAGCACAATACTTAAACGTGGTGGGTCTCATTTTATATTATATTCATATCAATACAATTCAATAAAACTACTCAACAGATGCTAACTGGTGCTACTCTGTGCAAGTCGCTGGTGATAATTCTTCTTTTATATTTTTATTCCTGGTGATAACTCTTGATAATAAAAACTCATTTGCTGGCCTTGATAAACTTAAGGTATAAGCGTGGGCTTGGGCCAAGTAAACAGGTAATTGAAACATAGTGAGTTTCCATACTGAGAGAAGATCAGAGTGGCTTTCCAATACATGAGAAAATGAGTGACTTAGACTTGGGAAGTCAGTGACAGCTTCCAAGAGGAAGTGTTTTCTCTGGTTTTGCCTTAAAAACATAAGTGTTCCCAGTAAGGTTGAAAGAGGAGGGCAGGAATCTGGAAGGATGGCCACTTGAATGTCCTACCCTGGTAAAAAAGGGCAATCGAATCGGATAACTGAGGCACTCGTCTGAGTAGATTAGCTGCTAGAACCCACTGAGTGTATGTATCACAGAAGGCTTAGATGCAGTCTCTGACCCTTGTTTCCATTTGAGTTGGGCCAGAGACTCAGGGCCACAGCAGAAGGAATCATGAAGCGATTGGGTTTTCATAGTTCTCATAAATCAAAATTTCCCATCTGGGAAAGATTATCCCTTTTTTAAAACATGGACCCAGGAGGTTTGTTGGGTTTCCTGGCCTTGGAAGAGCTGGAGATGAGCTACACATATGGGTTGGCAGAACAGTAGTGTTTGCAGCAGGAAAACTGGAAGCTGAGCAGATCATCAGAGAATAGGTACTTTTTTCTAACATATCTTAAGCTTATAGGAGCAAAGTCTACCATGCTTCAAGTATTAATGAGATGGCCCCCTGTTTATATCCTCACAGCTTTTACATGACCACCAAAACTGAGGAGGGTCATGAGTAGTTAAAGGAAAGTGACGACAGATCTAAGGGGACCAACCACCTTGGAAGGAAGACAGGTTAGGAATCTAGAATAGGTGGCTCCTAGTGAGATGGAGGGTAAAAATTAATACATGTGCTTCAAAATCAATTACTAACTAAAATAACTTTTAAAAATTAAGAAAGATGGAATCAGATCATATGTACTCAATTTAAAAACTGAAAGAGTCAGAATTAGTTAGGTACTCAATTGGAGGCCCAAAGGATTGGCAGCACTGTCTCAAACATGTGGAATTATGAGGGGGTATGGAGTCCTGAAGAACTGATCTAAGTTGCTCCTGAAAACAACAGGAGTTCAAAATGGAGAAACTTTTAGAGGAGGAACAAAAATGTTTCAGTGAGAAAAAAAAATTAGAGTATTATAGAGTATCTGGAAGGGAACAGGGAATTCAGAAAGGTTCTTTCTAAATACCTTTTTTTTTTAAATGTAGGGTGGGAGCTACATAAAAATGTTTTAACTAATGATGAGAATGAAGTGTGTGTGTGTGTGTGGGTGGGTGTGTGTGTGTGTATGCACCCATGCACGTGCGCATGCACGAGAGAGAGAGAGAGAGAGAGAGAGAGAACGAGAGAGAGAGATTTGAGACACACAAGAGAGCTGCTGAGAATATTCACAGTTTCATAGCCCTGAGATGTAGAGAATGGATGGATCCAGAGTACAGATAAAGGAATATCTTTGAATTATTGCTGAATGTTGCAAAATAAATACATATCATTTCACTCAGTAACATGTACAAATGTTTAGTTACCCTGATGGTCACAGAATTGTACCAAATCTCCCTGGGCTACATAAAGGCCTTTATGTTCAGAGCCACAATACCTTCATGCCTCTAGGAGCCAGAAGGACATCAGGAGGCATCTGACCATAAGTAAGGAGAAAGCACTTGCAACTGGGGACAGTAAGTATGTGGCTTGATACTCCTAGAATGGGTCATAGAATCTGGGCCTACCATCTCAAACTATATATTTATTTTATTATCACCTGTGTTTTCATCTACTGTTGACTTTCATTTTTATCCAATGCCTTTGGTATAAATATTTTGTGGAGGAAGTAGAAAAGACCTCATCCCCGGTAATACTCTCAGATAAACTGCATTCTATTTTATACACAATCGATTTCTCTTCAGTTCTACCAGAATTAGCCAGTCAAATCATGACGAATTAATATTGACAATGGGGACATTGCTTTTCTGGAGAGATAAGGCCAACGAATTATGGTTTTAGAATTATGGTGTTAAATCTAACCCTTTTGGAAACCCCCTCCTCACCTGGTAATATCAAAATTTGACCCAGAATCATACAGGATGCCTATCTGTATGAAGGATTCTAGCAGGCTGGGGATTTAATTTTTCAGTGCCTTAAGCCTAGGCCTACCCTGCTCTCTGCCTGTCCTCATTCACTGCCACTGTCAGCTGACAGGAATTCCTTCTAGGATTCAGCAACGGGGAAGTGGGACATCAGTTCTTTCCATTCTCACCTCACAACAGTGGAGAAAACAAGGGTTTGAGGACTACTTTTGTATTTCATGTTTATTGCAAGAGAGGTGTAGGCCATGTTTAAATTGTTTAAGGACAACTTTTCACTGAAGACCAGATTCTTAGCATTTGCTGTGTCCAGGAAATTTACAGTTCTGACAGCAGTTGGGAGCTCTGCCAACTAAAGCAATAAGAACAAAAGAAGACTTTAACTTCCATGATTGAATGGATTTTAAGAATTATCACCACCATTTTCACATTAGAATAGCATTTCCTAGCAGCACATAAAATATTATTATCATCCAATTCCTTTATTTTAACCTTGTTTATTTGTTTGTTTGTTTGCCTTGGGGATGCCAAAGGCAGTTAAAAGATTTATTTCCATACCGGCAGGTCAAATATAAATACAAACAAGGAGGAAAACTAGATTTATACTTACTAACCTGTAGTTTTCTCGCAGAACTAAGAAGTAATAATATTCAATGACAAATGATAAAAGATGCATCTTTAAATTAAATTTTTAGCATAATTTTACGACACAAGGATGTTTTATTTCTTCAGTAGTGTTTCCAGAGTTAGCACTGCTATAAGGGAGTTGGTAGAAAATTAATGCACATTTTAAACAACAAAAGCACAGGTGATATATCTGAAAATATGTGCTGCTTTTTTCCCCTCCTTGCACATGTGTAACTTATTGTTGTAATACAATTTATATTCCTAGAGGAAGAAAAGATTTCAACAACCAATATCTAATAGTCTGGAAATTTTTCCCACAACCTTTAAAATGATCTACTTGCTTGTATTACAAATGTCTTCATCTGGGCCAGGCTTATTTATTGTGACTGTTTGTTTTGTGTTATGGTTTGTGCACTCACTGATGAAAATGCTTCTAGTCAAAGTAGTGAATTCAAAGTACAGCAACTCAATAAAAACTTTAATTAATCAGGACATGAGCAAAGTGTATAAAACTGTCACATGCTGAAGAAAGTATAAAATATTCTAATTGAAAGTGTCATCTCATTGGTGAAATACTTTCATTCTCTTTTACTGCAGTCTTATACACTTGTCCTTCAGCATATGAGAAAATACTAAGGGGAAAAATGCCTGATGAACCTCAGGTATATCAGATAATAAGTCCTAACCATATTTATACTTAATAATTATTTTTAAAATACAGGTCACACGTGTAGAATATTTTAAAGTAATAATGGAAGTGGTTCTGGAAAAAATCAATTCAAGGCCGATCTACAGAGTAAAATAGTTTGAATCAAGGCAAGCACTTGCTTTATAACCTAATTTAGGAGATAATTAGCCAAAACTACAAAAATGTAGAGATTAAAATCAGATACTGCAACTATGGTACATTAACACAAAGTTGTCAAAAATTTGACATCTGTTGAACAGGTTTATCTATAGTTAAAATTTTAGTCCTCAAATCTAATTATTAGGCAGCATTAGGGCCCCTTTGAGGTTCATAGCATGAAGATGATCCATAGGGATGAAGTATCATTCAAATAATGAACTTGGATGGGTGTCTAGATATTTCACAGGGCAAAACCTAATCCAGTTATACTGTATGGGAATATGTTTCATGACAGAGAGAGAGAGAGAGAGAGAGAGAGAGACACAGAAAGCAAGCAAGCAGCACAGTTGGCTATTCTTACCTGTTTTTTGTGGCCCAATGACAAGGAATTTTGGCAAGTGGTCACAAGTTTTCTCTCTGGACCAAATGTCTTTGTGCCGTTTATCATCACATGGATTCTGCATGACGGAAGAATAATGAATCTTACTATGTAATGAATTCCTGGCTCTGTTCTATAATAGTTGTTCAAAGGACTGGATTGAATTCTTATCTGATATCCTAGAACTAAGAGTTAGATCCTGTTCTGGTTCTGGTTTTCTGATTTCCACATTATTTCCTTCTGAAATGGCATCTTCCTTTCCTTTAATACTAGAGCTTAACATCAAGTTGATTTTGTTGTCATCCTCTTCTGAAGCTTGGCTAGGTTCTAAATGCTGAGATTCCACTCTATATCTAGAAACATGTCCTTTGGATTTACGTTTCATGTCTGTATATCTGAAAATTCACTTGTCTTAACCTTCTTCTAACCATAACTTCTTAGATATCTGTGCTCTGCCCTAATCTTTCCTATTTCTCTTTCCCTGAGGGCTAGGGGGCCATCCTTGAACTCCAAACTTGGACAACTTTTCCTTTCCTTTTTGTACTATGTGCTATTCTCGACTGATCCAGCAAATCCTAATGTTTGGTCATACCCTACAAACTGATAACATGTCGATCAACATTTCTAGTCTGTATCTCCCACCTGAGCTCCTAACCTATATTTTAAATGGCATATGTATAATTGCTATATAGACATGGTGAGGAAATGCCAGACCCAACATACCCATAGGTCCAATTTTATCTCCATCTCAACCTTCTCCTGTTTCATTCTCCTCCCATTTCATTTGAGTGACCCACATTTATTATCTAAATCATGACATTTTTGAGAATTAAAAGAGCCATTAAATAAAAATAATGCAGTTTTAAAAATACGTTTTGACTGTCAATTTGGTTTTACTATATTATTAATGCAAATAAAATATTCAAAAATAATTTTCACAAAGTTCTGCCTAAAAGCAAACATTAGGCATAAAAACAATTATAATTGTATATTGATTATCCAAATATTAAAATGTCATACAATAAGTAATCATTTGTGATTCATATTTGTGTAATTTAATCAGTTTTTTAGCAACGTCTTTTTTCCATTTTACTATTTATTTATTTATTGCGAGAAAGAGACCCAGCATGAGTGGGGGAGGGACAGAGAGAAGAGGGAGACACAGATCCAAAGCAGGCTCCAGGCTCTGAGCTGTCAGTATAGAGCCTGACACAGGGCTCGAACTCACAAACCATGAGATCATGACCTGAGCTGAAGTTGCATGCTTAACCAACTGAACCACACAGGGTGCCCCTAGCCACATCTTTTTCTAATACCATGTCATGAAAGTTCCTCTAAAGAGTGATTGTTTTCACCATGGTTTTATTATGTTTTACTTTTCAATAAAATTGCTTACAATCTTTTTCAAAGTTACATTCATGATTAATAAATTTGAAAATGTTGATACTTTCAAATGACTCTTTTCTATAGACACTAAATTTTCAATTGGGGGAGTATTTTCTTTATAGAGTTGAAGTAAGCTCAGAGTAAATTCTTTTAAAGGAAGTTTGTTTCTGTTATTTCCAATTCTAATTTTTTTCCATATTGGAAAATCTATTAGAAGCCAAATATTTCAGTTATTTCCCATTTAGAGTCTTTTTCTTTGATGAATATTTTTCAAGAATAAACTTGTTAAAAGAGTCATCTTTAACTGAAACTTTTGACCTTTTTGCCAAATACAAGTGCTGCAAAATCATAGACTTCTCAACATTACATTCTAGCACAGAATATAAATTTATTTAAAAAAAGATATCTATCAAGGAATGCTTACCACAGTTGAACTTCCAAAATTCAATTAAAGAATGCCAAATTAAACCCTCTAGTTCATTTGAATTCTCATTACTTAATTTGTTTAGTCTCCTCCCTTCTTGCTTTGAAGTTTTTTTTTAAAGATGACAAAAAGCACTAAAGGAAGAGAAAAATATTATTTTTCTCAAAATAACATTTTAATATTTTTCTCAAAAATAATAATCAAAGCTGCTTGTCCTCAGTGTCATCATGTAGAGTGAAAGGGCCTAGATTGTCTTGACATTTCACAGAATTTACCACTAGTTTTCTATATTGATTTCATGTTAATTATATTTGAAAGGTACCAAGTATTAAGTGCTCTGACTGTCTTGGTAAGACACATGCACTCCAAAGGATAAAAGATAAGGGTAGAAGCAAAGTTGCAGGGACCTACTACCTTTTGGGGTTTTTTGAGGTCCAGTGGTCTCTATCATGCTGAGACATCTCTTCCAAGTAAAGGTCTATTATTGTTCTTTGTGACTCCAATTACTAAGAAAGAACACAGGGCTTGATAGGCCTTTTTGGGTTTTGGAAGCAGTGTTTTGTTGCACAAGGGAATGCTGCTCTGAGTTATTGACAGGAAGATGCAGAAAATTGCTAGTTTTTGAGCCCAGAACAAGAAAGAGCCCTGCACGAGGTAAGACTGAGGTACAAGCAGCTCTCCCACTTGGATCATACATCTGGGAAGACCTATGGTACTATGGCATCCATGGTACAAAATGATGCCAAGGAGAGTTTTGGTTAAGCCCCAGAGAAGAATCACAGTGTACACTCTGAAGATTCTACAGCAGGGCGTGCCACCTGCAGCAGTCATTCAAACTGGTGTCTACTCCTGGTATGCTACTGGGCCCTAGAAGAGATAGTGTTTCTCATGGATAACTGGTGATCATAAGTTGAGTATTGGAAGACTCACCAAATCCTAAATTCACTTGTACCCAGTAGCAATTCATTGTGAGATGAGAATGGTATGTCTGGGACTGATCTCAAGCTGATCCAAAGGCTACAAGTAACCTTTACAAATGAGTGACCCAGGCCCTCATGTCACCTATCACTGTTCAACAAATGCCTCTATATTAGCTCATTCCTTTATTTTCATGGAAGAGCCCCTATATCTGTGGATGAAGAGGGGGAAACTCAAGCTTGTTTTGTGGATAGATTGACCCACATGTTAGCAGAGGCAGAAAGTGGACTGCTGTTGCACTACAAACCCCACATAGAGAGGTTCCTAAAAACTAGTGGTTAAAGGAAAATTTCCAATTAACATAGTTCTGGGCAATGTTTCTGGTCATTTTCTTTTTTGAGGATAGATTAGTAGGGCAATGTAAGAATAGGAAAGATGAATAGGCAGTGGTGAATAGGTTAGCCGAGGGACTTAAAGGAGTGACATGGGAGTATTAGGGCTAAGTAGTTCTATGGAAAAGACATGTGGATGGACCCATGGTGGTGACCAAAGTGCGTGATGATCTTTGTACTGCACATCAATGTATACCAAAGAGTATTAAATGTAGAAATGTTAAACAACCAAGTGGACAGAATGATTCAGCCAGTTCCCAACATTCCCAGATGTCACCTAAGCTCTGTCCTTAGCCAACCCATTGCTGGAGCAATGAGTTTGTGAATGGAGTACCCATGGTATCAAGATGGAAGCCATTCATAAGCTTCCTTCTCCTAAGTCTCTTCTAGTTACAGCCACTGTTGAATATCTGACCTGTCAGTAAGAGAGAAAAGTTCTAAATCTCAGAAATTGACCATCCTACCACTTAGAAGAAAATTGATTATATTGGACACTTTTATTTTGAAAAGGGCTGTGATTCATCCTGACCCATGCTGACACATATTCAGAGTATGGATTTGCCTTCTCTATTCACATAGGGTATATCCTCTTCTCTTTCCTGTTATACTTTTCCCCTTATAGGTTTTTCTGAGAGTATCTCTTCAATAAATCATTTGGAGCCAAATTTCCTATCTCAGACTTGATTCTAATGAATTTTCCATCCCCAGTTTCCATTGGAACATAAATGCAGTGCAAAATAAAAAGACCAATAATAGATAAAGACAACTGCACTTTGTGAGAATTTGCCTTGGAAAAAGTTAGGGTATACTTTTTGGCTCTTTCTATGAGTTCATTTGTAAAACTTGTGATAAAAAGAGTTAATTACAAGCCAATAGACTTCACATTTATTATTCATTTTGCACAATACCATAATTTTATTTTATTTTACCAGTGTCTTTTATTTATGTCATCTTTTTATTTAGTATTCAATCTCAAATCCCCAATAGTCTAGCTTCAGTTTAATTCCATAACCATAATTTTCACTATGGCAGAGAAGGGTAAACTCTTTGGTTTCCTTTTCTTCTTTCAGTTAATCCCCTATTTTGCATAGTCTATAGGTTTCAGCCAGAGACTGTACTTCACAATCTCTTTTGAATCAAGCTTTCTTCATCTGATTCTTTTCAGTCCAAAGAAAAGTAAGCCAAAATGATGTAAAGTACCTTCTTAAGGATAAGACCACCCTCCCTGGATTTTCCCTTTCCTACTGACTGCCAGATGTAAAATGGTTACAATTGTAACATATGCCTTGGACTCAGAGGCATTGAACAGCTGCCAACCTGGGGCACTGGACGATCCTCTTTGTAGGATAGAGCTATCTAATGCTCCTAAATGTTCTGCCCATTTTTAGACAGTTGTATCAGTGAGACATATATATCTGTTTTATTTAGTCAATTTGTTGTTTGGAATGTCATTGTTATAGCAACATTGCCTATACTCTAACTCAATATGTTTCAAAGCACTTGTCTGTGAGAAGATAAGGAACTTGTGTCAGAATGTGAATTATTGAACTGCTTACTGCAATAAGAACATCCTGATACAAACAAACAAACAAAAAAATCCAACTGAAGCAGCCAGTGTGTTCAGTGACATAGTTGGGTTTACATATATTCACAAGGTTTTGTCTCATGGCAAATCAGCAACAAGCAATTGAAGCCCATTCATGGACCACACTTTGAGTAGCACTGCTCTGAATTGACAATCACCAACACTATACACAAAAAATAAACTCAAAATGGATTCAAAACCTGTGAGAGCCCTGGAACCATAAAATTCATAGAATAAAAGAGGCAAACAGGCAGTAATCTCTTTGACATAGGCCTTAGTAACATTTTTTCTAGATAGTTCTCCTCAGGCAAAGGAAAGAAAAGCAAAAATAAATTATTGGGACTACACCAAAATAAAAGACTTTCCACAGCAAA